TAACCCTACCCATGCTGCTGCTGAATGCAGATCCACTGCAGTTGCTGTTGGCCTTGGGGGTCTGGCCTGGGAAAAGTCCGTGGAGGAGTCTGGTTCCAGATCTGGGCTCTGTCTGAGTTTCACACATTTGGTCTAGACTCTAAATGTCAAGAGTTACTTCATGTGGCTTTTCTAGCTAAGGAATAGGTTTTGGGTTTTGGGGGGGGGGTTGTGAATTTAAACACTTTCAAGAATGAAATGGGGTTGCAGCAGAGCTTTAGTGGAAGTAGATATCTAAGCAATCTAGACCCGTTTGTTTTGTGTTTGTGCAGGGGCAATAAGGTCATGTTTAATGATTTAGCTACTTAAAAGCCACATGTCATGTTCTAGGCTATAGATTTTCAGCTAGAAAAAGTGACTGCCATGTCACTTATCTGTCAATAGCAACAATCCTTTCTCTCTAACTGGAAAAAGTAGAGGATGGATTAGGTATATATTTAGTTGTCGAGGCCATACTAAAGATATGTAGTTCTCCAAGGCAATTAAAATAATGACTTTTGTTATCAACAGCTTAGTTTCCTTTTTAAAGACACTCTGAAAATTTAGGATTACTTCACTTTTGCAGCCCTTAAAGTTGTTTTAAAATAATGTAGACACTAATGATTGGATGTAAAGAGAAGCTTTTCAATGAAAATTAAAAAATTAAAATGTAAAATTAGCCAGAAAAGCCCTTAATTATTGACTATTACCTAAAGAAAGCTTGAGACAAGTCGCTGCTGAGAAAATAGCTAGTTGACAGGCTGTATATAAAGGTTTTATTCAAAATTTGCTGAGTACTGCTTTTCTGGAGGGGTATTAATGCATTATTCCAAAAGACATGGGGAAAATTGAACAGAAACTTTAAAGAATGCTCAAATTGGAGAACTGAGAAATTCTTGGCTAAGCAGGGAAATCCAGGAAAGCCCTTAAGGGCAAAAAAGGGCATACAGGCTGTGGAGGCAGGGAGTAGCTACCAAGGAGGAGTATACCTCCTTGGCTCACAATTGCAGGGAATCAGTTAGGAAGGCCAAAGCAGGATTAGAACTCAGGCTAGCAACAAAAATTAAGGACAACAAGAAGTCCTGCTTCAGGTATATAGGAAGCAAAAAGAAGGTGCAGGGCAGCATAGGACCCCTACAGGATAGACAAGGGCAGCTGGTGACAGATAGGTGGGACAAAAGCAGAGCTCTTCAATGAGTTTTTTTTGCCTCTGTATTCTTGAACGAGGATCTAGACAAATCTCCCAAATGCATTACTGACAGGCAGGAGAAATACCAGCCCACCAACTGCCAGCACCAACCTAGTAAAGAGATGCTTAGAGGGGCTGGATGTATTTTTTTTTTTTTTTTTTTTTTTTACATAAGCAGGAACGAATGAGCTCCACCCAAGGGTGCTGAAAGAATTAGCCAGTGTCATAGCAGAGCCATTGGCATGACTGTTTGAGGACTCATGGTGCTCAGATGAGGTCCCTGAGGACTGGAGAAGGGCCAATATTGTCCCTAATTTCAAGAAGGGGAGAAAGGAGGATCCGGGTAACTATAGACTGGTTAGTCTCGCCTCTATCCTTGGGAAAATCGTAGAAAAATGGTCATGGATCACATTTGTAGGAGGTCAGCAGGTAATATAATGCTGAAGGGGAACCAGCATGGGATCATAGCAGATAGATCCTGCTTGACTAACTTTGTTTCTTTCTATGACCAGGTCACTAAAAGCTTAAATGCAGGAGTTGAGGTAGATGTTATCTATTTGAAGTTTAAGAAGGCTTTTGATACTGTATCCCATCCTATTCTTATAAAGAAATTGAACGGCTGTGTCATAGCCTATTACACAGTCATGTGGGTGGCAACTTGGTTTAAGGGTCATACTCAGAGAGTGGTGGTGGATGGTTCGGTATTGACCTTGAAAGATGTGGGCAGTAGGGTCCCCCAAGGCTTGGTCCTCGGTCTGGTGCTGTTCAGTATCTTCATCAGCGTCCTGGATGAGGTGATGGAAAGCACTCTGTTTAAATTTGCAGATGGCACCAAACTATGGGGCAGAGCAAATGCACTGATGGAAAGAAACTGAATCCAGGTGGACCTAGACAGGGTAGAAAAGTGGGCAGAGAATAATAGGATGCAGTTCAACAAGGACAAGTGCAAGGTGCTGCACCTAGGGAGATGGAATCACCAGCACACCTATAGGCTGGGGGATGACCTTCTCAGCAGCACAGCGACAACAAGAGATCTCAGAGTCATTGTCGACTGACTCCAAGATAAATATTAGTCATCAATATGATGAAGCAATTAGCAGAGCTAACCGCACTTTGTTATGCATTAGTAGGTGCATCACAAACGGGTCCAGGGAGGTGATGCTTCCTCTCTATGTGGCACTGGTCAGGCCGCAGCTAGAGGACTGCATCCAATTCTGGGTGCCATAATTCAAGAAGGATGTGGACAACCTTGAGAGGGCCTAGAGGAGGGCCACTTATATGGTTAGAGGCCTGCAGGGAAGGGAAGGCCTTATTATGAGGAAAGGCTGAGGGACCTGGACCTTTTCAGCCTCCACAAGAGAAGGTTATGGGGGGATCTTGTGTCAGTATACAAATTCATTGGGGGGCAGCAGGGAATAGGATATGCTCTGTTTACCAGACCAGAACACCCCTTGGAATAACCAGAAATAATTGCCACAAGCTGATGGAGAGTAGGTTTAGGTTGGACATCAGAAAGAACTTCTTCACGGTAAGGATTGCCAGAATCTGGAATGAGCTTCCAAGAGAGATGGTGCTCTCCTGTACCTTTGGGGTCTTCAAGAGGAAACTGGACAAGCACCTGACTGGGGTCAGATGACCCCAGAACTTCTTCCTGCCACTGGCAGGGTGTCAGACTTGATGATCCTTTGAGGTTCCTTCCGACCCTAGCATCTATGATTCTTTCAGTTGTATTTTGTGATATGGATGCATGCAGGGATATAGTTACCTGTGGGGAGATGAATAGGTGAGTTCTCCAGATCATACTGAGTGGACATATTTCTTGCAAACCTAGATTTATGTTTCCTGCAGTGAGGGGTTTGAGTTCAGCAAGCTAACTTGGTGAATACACTCTTCAAGCTAACTTACTAATTTAAACTTGCTTTTTACAGAGCAGGCATGCCAACCTGCAGTATGGGAGCCATAAATACTATGAACAGCTTCTTTGTGTGACATGTGGCAGATGGAGGAGGGGACAGGTAGCACAGCGGTAGATAAAGCAGGGAGCAGAAAGCAAAACATCAGATCAGTCAGGGAGCACAGGTGTGGGAGCAGAGTATTGAGCTACAGCTTGTCCACAGAGCAAAAAGCAGAGCAGCAGATCAGGGAAAGGGATTAGGGTGGCACTTGATTTGTAGCATGCCTGCCAAAAAAGTTAACCTCTACTGCTACAAAGAATTCTTTTTTTTCAGTAGCTTGAATGTTGTTTTTAAATTTTTAGAGATCCTGAATAGAAAATAACAATGATGTGAAGTCATGCATTCAGTTACTTGCTTTGTTTCATCTGTCAGACAGCATCTTAATGTAGAGTAGGTAATCTTTTTAATGCCAGAATACCCATACAGGTTTTATTAAAGAAAACCTTAAAACGCATGCTCTTTTAGTCCTGCCTTTGACCCCAGTGCAGCAAGGTATTTGTGCACAATGCTGATTTACTGATGTCAATAGAGAACTACTTGCATGCTTAAAATGGAGCAAATTTAATGCTTTAATGAAGCAAAAGTATAAAAGATTTAATGGAATCACAGAAGAATAGGGCCTAAAGGCAGAAGCGCAATGATGTAGCTAGACACATGACTAATGGCTGCCGCCGTGCCTCTGGTGCCAGTGGTGACACGTGGAGTGTGCATGGGCACCCCCTCAGAGCACTAGTGTACCTCCTGACAGGCAACGCTCCCTGCTTAGGTGATGGGCAGGCGGGAGCCCTAGCTGGTGCAGTCGGCCAGAGTGAGATTGGCTACGGGAACTCACCCTCCACCTCTCCCCTGGTCAGCTTGAGCAGCTGACTCGGGGAGAATGTGCCCCCCAAGTCAGGTGGCACCAGTCGCCCATGCCTGGTGCAGTTGTAGTGGCAGCCTTTTTTTTTTTTTTACTGCCCCTTTTCTTGCCCCTCCCCCATCAGCATCTGTGGCAGCTTCCCTAATCACCCAGTTCTACTTATACCACTGCTGAAAGGGACCATGGGACATCAACTAGTCCAAGTGCCTGTTAAAGGCAGGATCATTGCTCTGTAAATCATTCTAGACAAGTGTTTGTCTAACATCTTCTTAAACATCCAAGAGGTTCCACAACCTCCTTAGGTAATCTTTTCCAAGCAGCTTCAAAACTGCTTAGCACTGTTCCAACTTCTCTTATTGAAGTCTAAAGTAAAGCTGTTAACTTTGTCAGAACTAGAGTTAACCCAAGGCAGCACTCTAGGAAATCCTACTTTACAATGCTCCTCGTTTAAATTTGTTACCCATTTTGTTTATGCATGAAGAATTCAGAACATCTGTCAGTGTTAGTGTTTTTTTTAACTATGTAGAGTAACAAATGTAATAAAATGGGGGGAAAAATGTTCCCTTTATGGATAGAAAAACCTTAACATTAGTTGGACTACTGACAGTAGTAGGAACACATTGTATACGCACACTGTATACGCACAAAATTTAAATACATCAGTTTCTTATCAAGGCACAGGTTAATAGATTTGAATGTGATTTAATATGTAAGTTTGCTATCAAGAGTATTTCATTAAAAGTTTTATTTTAAGATTTTTTTTTTTTTTACAATAATCATAGGCATGTAGTTGGGGAGACTTACTAAGCTTCCATTAGAAAATCTATTTGGCATTTTTTTCCCAATTACCAGTCTCACATTATACTTCTAATCAGAAGAATTCTTGTATTTTTATTTTTGTGCATTTGTTTGTTTTGTAACAATTTTGTAACATATCTCATTGCTGCAAATCATTTATCCTCACATTTGTCCTTTTTAGTTTGGAGATTTCATTAAATAAAAAGGAAGAAGGACCAATGTGGCCAGAACTGATAGTGGCTGATTCACGAGGGGAGTTCATCACAGACTCTTCACAATGTCTCATGCATCTGACCTCTGAAGAAATGGTAAGAAATTAAAATCCTCATGTTATTCATCAAGTTGTACTTTGTTAGGAGCCTGACTCCTTCCTCAATTAGTATGAGATGATGCGATCATGTAAAATCTGGAAACTGCATTTTTCAATTAATTGTTTTTAAATCCTAGTACTAGGTATCTGAATTGTAACACTGTCCACATGACAGACTGCATTCAATTAACATGTCATGGTTTAACTCGATAAAGAATACAAAGAAGATTGAATATGGAGACCAAATTTAATTTCCACTAGTTGTGAAATAACAGCTCCAAACTTACTGTAATCACTTGGTTTGGAGGATTTTTCGTCACCTAGGATGCTTACTAGTAAAACAACATTAAGCAGCGGCAGCGTTCCTATGCCAACCAACTGCCACAGCCACCTAGGGATCTGATTCCCAACCACTAACCAAAACACAGAAATGCATTACACTGAATATGTTTAAACAGTTATCTTTAAATGTTACTGATAATTAATATGCTAAAAAGGGACGTTTTTGGTCATTTAGTCATATTTCTTGCATAATGCAGTCATAGGAGTTCTCTGAGTTAATCCCCATTTACTAAAGTATATCTGTTAGAACAACCTGCTAATCTTTTATTTAAAAAAATGGTCAATGGTGGAACATTCATTCTAGCCTTCCATAAGGTGTTCCAGTGGTTAATTATTTTCTGTCAAATTTATCATTTTCTGAATGGCCTCTTCAGATTCCAGCCACTGGATCTTGTTAGACTTATGCCTTTTAGTCTAAAGAACTCTTACAATTTTGCTTTTCCCTGTGTACAGACTTCTGCCACGGAGAGGCATTAATTTCAAGGAATTTGCAGCCCTAGAAATTCTAGCAAAAAGGGAGAGTACAGGCAATCTATCCAGCAAGGTCCTCTCCTGTTCCCCAAGTGTTCCCAGACCAGAGTGACTCCAGACTGGTAAAGAGGGAAAGCAGCTGCTCCTCAACTCATTGCAGTCTTTGAAAGGAGTTGAACAGCCTCTGCTTTCCATATGTTTCTCAGACTGGA